TGGCCCTCCCTGTGCGTGGACGCAATTGGGTCTAGCCGAAATGCAAATATGCTAGATAAGCCTAAATCAGCTTAAATCTTAGTCCGTACTTTGTGTAACGTGAACACAACTATTTAAAGCCCGTACACTACATCAGATTTTAATCAGATTGAGCGTCACTCTAATCTAGACATTAGGAAAGATTGAAATGTTGGAAAAATGACGTCTACTCAAAAGATTATATGGTATGCAATGTACAAATGTAGCAGTATTGGAATTTTTAGTTTCTCATCAGGTGGCTGGTATCATTGGGTCTCCGCTGGATCAGTTTCCCTCCGTTTCTATCCTTGTTTAAATTTGTTACTGCCTTCCAGTTTGGTATTGACCATATTGATGTGCGTAATGAAATAATCCCTATTAGGCTGATGATCAAAACTGTAGATCACATGTTATTTTGGCAATACATACTATTGTAGTGCCTCGCTAATAGAAGTACATTAAAACCCCAAAATGTATTCATTGTTAGTACATGTATATTGGATAATATAGACACACCCAAGTCATTAAAAGTGTGTGACATCCAAATATGGATCACCTTGAGCCATTCATAAAATGTTTACATTCTTAATGTTTACTATTCCTGCTTGGCAATACTCTTGTACAACATTTATTACATTTTAATGACACCAGTACTTGTCACATTCCATTCCGTGGAGGGGGGGGGGGTCATCTCTGACAATAGAGCTTATGCTTATCATGCTCTTAATCTGTGTGTTCATGTATTTGCTCCATTACAAGTGCATATGATTACATACATTGCAGAATTTTTATAGGGAAAATAAGTTGCATTTAATTGATTCAGTATACATACAATACATGTACTGTAAAATGACTAATTTTCACTGATTTAGCATTTCAGGCATATTCAGTGGGTTTTAATTTAGCGCATTTTCCAGTCAGCGAAATAAGCAAAATTGAAACCCAGTAAATTAACCTTATACAATAATTGTTGGTTTATATGTACTTCTATTAGAAATATACTTCAAATAGAGCAAATAAGGTGCATATCATTCGGACTCAGGACAAAATATTCTTATTTCTAACATTATAAAGTGTGTGTACGTGTTGGTTGAAATCACAACATTTCATTTGAATTCTTCAGACCGTGTCACAGACAGCAATTGTCAGAAAATGGCATATTTGCTTTAGTAGAAGCACATCTCCAATGCAAGCACAATTAAATCAACAGTTGTATGTATTTTTTAACCGGATCATGAACCCTTATCCTGCCAGCCCCATGTACTTTTAAATTGACATGACCAAGGTTAAAAATGTAAATTATTGCGACCATAGACATACCTCTGTCATTTACGTAAGTACATGTGCTGCTTATAGAGCAAATACTGCAGCCTTATCAACTTACCAGCTTATCAAATCATGAAAGTTATCGGTAATTATGGCAACAAAAAAATTGGTCTGTATTAATTAAAGGCAGATTTCTTACATGGATTATGAAATATCAGTCATAATCTGACACATTGGATAGACATTGCTGCTTATTTCCTAGCATGCCAATCAAAGTTATAGAAAGGAAATAGAACGTGCCTATCAAAATGAAAGATAGCAGTACCTTGTCATAACCCCAGATTTACGATCAATTTTTTGTTGATTGTTTATGATTATTTTGTCATTCACTCGTAATTTTCAATCATAATTGGACAGGTTTGTAGAAATTTAACAGGCCAATGAAATGTTATACCTGTAAGTGCCTGTCTAAAATAACAGGTACACAGGTAGCTAAAAGCATGATGCCAAATGACACTACAGAAAATCGTACATTGTCAGTGTTTGAACTTCACAATTGACTTGATACCCAGAGTGTGTGCCTTAATACTGTTCAAAAAGATAAGAGATCTTTTCTATACATTTTCTGTCTACTAAGGAACTTTTATAGAATTTGGGAAATTGGTGCCATCTCAACTTTGAATTTTTAAGCCCTGCATTGTGATCATCAAAAACACCTTACTGCATGCAATTTGATAAAAATAAAATTAATAAAATGAAATTCATATTTTATGAATAAGTATAAACACGAAGAAAATCAGGTGCTCCAGTCTGTGCCTTTAGGGGCACCCTCCAGCCTCATTCAGAATTTATTTTTTCTCTTAATACCTCTCCCCAATACTCACTAAACTGAATCAACTTGATTTTTTTAAATTCCATTCTCTTCAAGATACCTTCAAAATCAGTCCTAATAAAGAACACACTGATAGGAACAAAAATCTTTAATGTGTCTATAATTCTTTCCTCATAGGAGTTGACATCCCTGAGAGCGGTGAGATTACGCAATCAAAAGACATCAAGCAATGCACCCATCAGATTCAAGACCTAGTGCTTAGCAGGCTGAACAGTGCCGTTGCTGGGAAATTGATCGGCTCTGTCAATTGTCTGAGGGATAGCTACATTGGTACGCTCTCAAGGTGTCTAGAAAGTTTGGAGCGAGGGGAAGTGGAGTTGGAACCTTCAGCCAGCCTGGCACTCCAACAGGTTTGTTTTCTTATCCGTAATAGTTATAATATGTACAGCGGAAGGTCATATAAATATATTTTATATCTTTGTGTATTCATCTTGTGTTCTCTAGTGATGTCATTTGTAGTTTCACTTTAATTTAGTCAAGTTGATTATAGCATATTTATTCACGTGTATGTTTCAGTCGATAAAAGGTATAATGTATTTTTTCATTTATAATTTCATTTATTGTCTACTGGTCCATTGAAACTCATTCCGATCACACTTCTGTCATTTATACAAACACAAGCACTACTATAATAGTTCTAATATAGTACCTGATTATGTTCAGTTTAATACTGTATTTACTCTGTGAGAAAACGCATACGCTTTACCTAAAAGTTAAAAAAAAGCATTAGAAAAATCACTTTGGTATGCATAAAAATGATGATATGCCTTGATTGAGAATGTGCTTCTGATGTAGAAAATATGGAAATGAGAAGTTGAACATTAGAAACTAAGTAGGGGAAGCAGATTTTGGAAAAAAAAAAAATCTGCCAAGAAAACATTTTTATAAAGAAAAGCTGAAACCTCACAAGCAATACATCAGTTGATATGAGTGAAAGTAAAACTGCATTAGCATTTATGTAATATCTAGATCTATGTCGGAAATCCCTGTGAACTTTTGTAGCTGCTTGATTACACAGTGGAAAAGTGGAAGTCTATTTTTAGCACGAGCTGTTTCCGGTGATGGTTTTGTTTTCAACCTGAGTCGTAGCAAATACTTTGCTACCGAATTTTCTCTATTTGAAGAACATGTTTAATTAAAGCACACATACACGAACAAATGCATTTACTGTAGACATGATTTTATAAAATATTACTTATTTTGATTATAGACATACTTCTGTCATTTACATATTAAAGTGCATGAGGTCTTAATAGAGCGAGGGCGGTGTCATCTGTCAGTAAAAAAAAAATGAATGTCTCGTTTCAGCACCACAAGTTTACCACAAATTTGTTTGTATCAATTGCATATATAGAAAATAAAAATGCTATGGCACCCAACAATTGTAAACACATTATCACCAAAACAAGACATTTAATTCATGATATTTCCTCAGCGGCAAAGAAAACAAGATATTTTTGTTTTTGTCAGGGATAACTTATTTTTCATTTGATTTTATCAATGATTTATTATTATGCAACTGGGGTGATACGATCCAAATAGACAATTTTTCGTTTACAGTGAAATCCTGTGTTGTGCGCTGAAACATAAAAACAGGACAAACAAAGTGTTGTAGCAGTGTTCAAAACTATTTTTTAGGTATTAATGCGCCTAAAAATGTGCATGAAAGTCATTTTGATGAAGTAAGGATATCTTAAAGCCATATTCCTCACAGAAAGATTGGTATTTTGAGAGAAATCAAATTATTTAATGAGAAATTAAAAATAAAAATTAAATCATTTTATTTTGATGGCAGACGTTTAATCCGCTTCTTTCACACAGTCAATGGAAAATATCCTATTTAAAATCACATGAATTCTTTGTACTTTTACAAAATGTATTCATATAAATTTACAAATAACAAACTATTTAATAAATGCCGCTGTAATTTCATAAAAGAGTAACAATATTCAGAATCTTCATCTTTCATGTCTTTTTGTTTTCAGATTTTAAATGCTGCGTATCAAGTTGAAGTCAATGTCAACACCAGTTCTTCGATTGTCAGGATTATTTTAGAGAAGATGAAACAGGTATATAAAACTGAATTTCTGTTTTATATTAAAAGTTCTTGACATCCATTATATTACTGTATTTTTCAATTGACGTTGACAGTCAAATCAAGTTGAAAAAAATATTTTTTCTGACTTTCGTTTGTAGACTGGCACACGCTACACAAGATGCCAAAAAAAAAATACCATTTACAGCCATTCATTGTTTTGAAATCCTACACCAGTATGAAACTATGCAAGGTCTTGAGTATTGTTTTCCCAGGGTATTATTTCTCATCTTGGGACATCAACATATAATAATTTGATTAAGTACAGTGACCTCATTGATTAACCTTTGAGGTCATCTAATCTCAAACATGTGTTGACTGACGAAAGAAGCATGTGTTCAAAGTAGCCCCCAGTGTTCAGGCTTGTGAGCCGTCTGCAACCCAACTCTACAAAACTGAGTTCACATGAAATTCTTCCTTGTTAGGAATGAGTACAAAAATTAAAATATTCCTAAATCTAGGAAAAAGGTATTCCCCAGTTTCCCAAGTAGTTGATCAACTTGATTAGCCCTTCAGATTCAGAGTTTTTTTCAGAAAAAATAAACAATAGAGAGCTAGCCCACACAGGCGAGGGAGCGGAGCGACCAAGCGAGGGGGGATAGGTGTGGAAGGGCGGATCACCCTGGAAACGCCATATCGGAAGGTTTCTACGCTATTTAACGGTGTATTTTAGAGTAATTTTAGTGTGTTTGGTGTCCAGATAGCTGGTGTTGCTGGGAAGTTTTCAGAGTATCATGGCACTGAGCCCCTGTTCCTTGGTTTAGAAAATCCCCTGAGTATTACTAAAACAGAAAGAGTTCCAGACATGTAAGATGCAGCATTACATATATAAAGCTCACGTAACCAGTTTTATCTTAAATGCTTTTTGTATGTAAACAAAAAAAAACTTTAAAACGAAATGATCGATTGTGCAGGTACACAAGTGCATTCAAAAACAAGTTTGTGACTGTACTTCATTAACGATATTTATGAAGGTCAAGACACTCTTCTAAGCACAAAATGGTTTTAGAGAAAACTGATGTTGACGACGACGATGATGTTGCACACATTCCTTTATGTACTACGGAGAATAAATTGTGTGATGCAAACTTGTTTATTATGCACAGAAATGTAACACAGTTTTTTGATTGAATGCACAAAGATAGTCATATACATATATGTAGTCAGAATTGCCTCTTGGGTTCATCAAACTTTACAAACAGAGGAGAGTTCGCTAATATTTCATTATGGACGCAACATACTATATTTCAGATAATTATATTTTCAACTTCATTCTAACTTCATAGGTTATTAGGTCAATGCCCTGGAGTAATCCTCCTAAAGTTGATGCTGAATGGAAAAAGAAGGTAGCCTTGGACATGATGAACAGTCTAAGTGAATATAAGTTGGCTAAGAATATATGCTCTCAGGTAAGGCCAGACTTTTATTATCCCTTGTTTCGCGAACCCGACGAATGAACAGGAGCCGAAAATGAAATAAAAATATTATTTTTATCTTCATTTTTTTTTTCGCCCGCCGTCTAACAAATCCAAGTTGCATTTTCATGGGAGTATCATGATCAAAGTACCGAAGTCTCGCGCAGATCTATACTTTATGCGCGTTGGTTGGCAGTGAATCTCGGGTATTGACCTTTCTGCGTGCTGCTTGAGACTACTAAGCGAACCCGGCGGTGTGGTTTGTCGTGACACGCCGTGAAACTCTGTCGTCAAAAACCGAGAAATCCCTCATTAATGCTGAAAATTGTGCCCCAATTGGCGACATTGCCAACCAGGTTATACATGGAATAAAATTTTATTTCATTTCTTCTCTCTGATCAATGATCTCACTTACAATTCTTTGAGAATCACACAAATCTAACGGGGAAAAAAAGAATTAATTTTTTTTTTTTTTCGCTCTCCTCAAAAAAATGTACTTATAAAAACTTGAGAAACAAGGAATAAAAAAAGTCTGGCCTAATAGACTTGATATACTTACAAATGGCAGCGAGGCATTCAAGCTGGACAGCAAAGGCAATGACCATCGTGAACTCTGTGAACTTTAAATCACTGCATGAAGTCTGTCTAGCCTGTGTAAAATAATGAAGCTTTCATACCTATCCTGATTTCACTAATTTTCTTTAGCTTGTTTTTTTTTTATAGTTTTCTTTGTGTGCCAGGC